TGAAGGCAGGTGGGTAGTAATTGTTTTTTTCTGCAGTCCTAATTATCCTCTGAAATCTGTGTCTGTCCTGTTGGGTTGCAGAACCAAACCAGACAGTTATAGAGGTGCAGATGACGGACTCAATAATTCCTCTGTAGAACTGAATCAGCAGCTCCTTGGGCAGTTTGAGCTTTCTGAGTTGGCACAGAAAGAATATTCTTTGTTGTGCTTTTTTTATGATGTTTTTGATGTTAGGTGTCCATTTTAGGTCATGTGATATAGTAGAACCTAGAAATTTGAAGGTCTCTACTGTTGATACTGTGTTGTCTAGTATTGTAAGAGGTGGTAGTATAGGAGGGTTTCTTCTAAAGTCTACCACCATTTCTACGGTTTTGAGTGTGTTCAGTTCCAGATTGTTCCGATTACACCACGAGGCAAGTTGTGTAACCTCCTGTCTATATGCAGATTCATCGTTGTCTCGAATGAGACCAATCACTGTTGTGTCATCAGCAAACTTCAGTATTTTAACAGATGGATCATTTGAGATGCAGTCATTGGTATATAGGGAGAAGTGGAGAAAGCACACAGCCTTGGGGGGGGTGGGCTATGCTGATTATACAGGTATCGGATGTGATTCCGCCTAGCTTCACCTGCTGCTTCCTGTCTGTTAGGAAGCTTATGATCCATTTACAAGTGTGTTGAGGTACTGCTAGTTGGTTTAATTTACTTAGAAGAATGTCTGTGTCATGCCCCTGGTGGAGTCTGACTCTGAGGAAGAGGAGGAACAGCCAACAGGGAGTAGGAGTGTGGCTCCAGAGGTGATGGAGGAGGCTGGGGAAGGGCAGAGGCCGGCTGAGCAGTCAGGAGGATCCAGGCCCATCCCCTATCCATCCTAGGTCACACAGGGAGGAGAGGATCAGGAAAAAGTGAGGTCTACTCAAGAGGAGATTACCATGATCCTCCTCGTGGCTTGCAGGTGGGAGCTATGTATATAAGTTTGCAACTGTGCAGTTAGAATTGCTGAAGTCAAACAGTGTTTACCTTGAAAGAGGCTTATCTTTGCTGGCATTCTTCCCATGGACTTTTCTCGGTTATTTTACTGGAGTTTATAATTAGTTATCTTGGCTTGCTTCGGAACTCTCATCGATGCGGTTTGTTTTGGTTTTCTGTTTGCCTCATTATTTACTTTTGTGACTTTAAACTGTGCCTAATAAAACAGTGAAGTTAAGTTGAAGGCTTTACCGGACTTTAATATATGTTTTGGGTTATTTTGAGAGACTACCAGTCATCACAGTCTGGAATGATGGTATTGAATGCTGAAAGAGGACCCTTGCGTAGGTATTTGGAGATTTAAGGTGTTGTAGGATGTAATGCAGAGCCATGTTAACAGCATCATCTGTCAATCTATTTGCTCGGTATGCAAACTGCATGGGATCTAACAGCGGATCCATGATGGTTTTTAGGTGGGACAGCACAAGCCTTTCAAAGATTTTCATAACTACAGATGTTAGAGCAACTGGTCTGTAGTCATTCATGATGGAGGGCTTCTTTGGCACTGGGTTGCCATTCTGTTTTATTTTACAATAATAAAGCTGCTATTCTCTAGATTTAGACTATAAAAACTTGTATGTGGTCACGTCTATTGAAAACTCTAAATATGGTAATCAGGTATTCCTGCACATGTGACTAAGGATATGTTCAATATTTCAGAAATCTTTTATTAATATTTGAATGGGAGATGCCAAGTGCAATAATTATTTGCATTCCACTATTTATTTTCCCATGCCAGAAGTTTCTGCATTTTGTGCCCAGAGGTTTCACACTGTCCTCTGCCCTATGTTTTTACTCGTATCATAGTTGGGGGGTACTACAGCCATCAAGATCAGGGTTTTCAAACTGTTTTAGGTCCAGAGTTGGTTAAAGGTAATTTTTTTCTAGCATCTCTAATCAAGAGGTAAAGCCCTAGTGTGCTTGCTTCAGCAGCATATATAGTAAAATTGTAATGATATAGGGACAATTAGCATGGCCTCTGCACATGGATGAAGTGTCCCATTTAAAAAAGATAAAGAGAGGGACAAAAGTGATAGAATAGTGGCAAGGGAGCATGTTATTTTGTCCTCAGTCTCACAAAATTCCATCACGTTCTCACATACTCTCCAAGTTTTATGAAACAAAGGTTTTACTCAACTACAACTCCTGAAGTCCTCACTAAGATCACACTGGCTGAGAATTGCAATTCAGTTTCTTTAGAAAGCAAGAAGTTTTCACCTCCAGCCTTTGCATAGCTCTACTGCCTCTTTCCTCAACCTGGTCCCATGTAGTCATAGAGTATCCAGCTTGACTGAAAGGCATCTTTACCTTTTTTTCACGCAAATGCCTTGTTAATTTTTAACAGAAACAAATCCTAGCTTATTCATTCCTGATACGTCATAAGGACATATCTGACCACCTCCTTCTGGAAGCTGCAAAAATTTCTCAGCATTTATTAAGCAGAAAAGGAAATTAACTTTTTTTAAAAAAAAACAAAGAAGAGGAAAGCATACACTGAAAAAGGAACACATCATTTTTAGAAGGACAAAAGTAAAATGAGGCCACTCTAGTGGAAATATGTAATGGTGCCAGAATCAGCAATGAATCTTTGCACCATATTCTCTCTGAAGCTTGCCAAAACAACAATTGTGCTCTGCCAGAGTACAGGTCAGTGGTAGCCATCTGCTTTTGCCCAAGCAGTAGGGGAAGGAGGGAAGGAAGGAAGACAGACTATTCTTAGCCGCGATGCTTGCTGGCAAATGCAGCAAGCACAACAGCATAGGAAAGAAAGCTTTCCCAAGGCCTGACCACTAAGGAAGGGCCCACCTCGCTTGCAAAAGGGATGGGCTGCTGTGGCAAGCTAGGACCAAGGAGAAGGGCTGCAATTCTTGTCTGGTATGTGTGTGGGAGGCACTAGCCGGGGTCTCGCCACAGAACGGCTCTACCCTGTCTGGGCTGGGGCTTTGTTAAGACTTGGCTGTGAGCCAAGAGAAACCTTTTTCCAAAAGGAGAAAGGGAGGGAGTGGGAATAGCTGGGGCTGTTTCAGCAGAAAACCGTCCTTAGCAGGAAAGTACGGCTCATTCCCCTGAGGTGGGTTAGAGAAGAACACTTTTGCAGAGGAATAGCCAATAGCAGAGGATATAAACAGGACTGCCCCAGACAAACCAAACTGGAAAAAAGAGAGTAGTGCTCCAGAGGTACAAAAACAGAATTTAGGAGCAGGTTTGCACGGGGAGGAGGTGCCTAAGCTCTGGGAGACTTCGTGGTGCCCTTCTCCAGCCCCGAGGGCTTCTAGCTCATAAGGAAACCTTCTGCTTTGCCAAAGGGCTGCAGGCGTCAGCAGTGGCTGCATTCAGCATTCCTAGGCTTATAAGGCGATTCCAAGGAGAGGGGAGGAATTGTCTGCAAGCCATCCAGTGACAGCTTTGTAAGCAGCCAAATCAACCCCGAGAAGCACTTTCAGGTCAAGAAAGATCCACACCGGGCGAGAGTAAGATGGCTCTCCACACCCAGAAAGGAAGCCCAAGGTACACTTAATAATGAACTGTAGGAAATACTGAGAAAATGCCTGCGGATCCTAAGGGGAGGTTAATTACCAATCTTAACAATAAAGGAGGCTTCAATGGTTTTTGTGGTTTTATTTTATTTTTTGGAGGGGGGAATGTCAGTCCCAGAAAGTACACAGAGAAGCCAATTAGTTTTCTTCGTGAAATGTATCAGAAATGGTTCTTCTTTGCTTTCTTCTCAGTACACAGAGAGACAGATTTGCCCAAAGTCACCCAGCTGGCTTTGTGCCTAAGGAGGACTACAATTCATCATCCACCTGGTTTCAATCCCAATATCAAACTGGCCCTTCATGCGTCCATTATTGCCTTACAGAGAGATGGTTGTGATTCCTGCATTAGGCATGAGAAGCTGAGGTATTTAAAAAGTATTCATCTTAATGCTGTTTTGCCAAATTACAGCTGTATTGGGATTTGAATTGAACATTCCCAAAACATGGTTCTTTGTCATCTCAAATCCCACTTGCACTTCAGTAACTTTTGCCATGATGATTGGAATAATATTGAGAGCTAGAGTCCCAGTCTATCTGCTTGAGAGCTTATATAAGCAGAAAAGATTAGTATAAAGAACCAATAAAATAAATGTCACAGAGCGCCAGGTTAGTAAGACCTTATTTGTATTGTCTTGTGGCTTTTCTGCCCACAGACTCTAGCAGGAGAGTTAATCTCTAGGCTTTCCAGTAGAATGTGTCAAAAAAAATGAACGGGGAAAGTGAGGGCGGTTCCTATATATTTCATTTTGGAGATGCAGAGACTGAGCTTAGAGTGAGTAATCTCCAAAAAGATCTTCTGGAGAAGAGAAACTGTGCATCTTATTCTTATCCTGCTACAAAGCTCAGTCTTATTTTGCCTAAGTAGATACCTTCTGAATTTGCAAAAGGGAACCTAAAAAAAGCCCAAACCCAACAGTTGGAAAGAAACATGATTAATTAGGTACCAACAAATATCAGCTGCCAGTAATGTGTCAAACCGAAACTGCTGCCCTCTGGATCAACTAAACCTCACATCTTGCCAACACATTTGGAACTGCAGACATGTGTGTATTCATATTACCACAATCCCTTCCTGTACTGCTATCTCCACCTAGCCACATGGCAAGAGCTATTGCCACAGACTCAAAAATAGTGTGTGGGAGCTCCAAGAGCCTGATATCAAGTAACAGCCTAAAATGCTGAGGTCCTTCTCATTACATCATGGGAGCAATCCAAACTGGCAGTTTCCTGAGGGGAGGGCCTTGCTTGGCTTGGCAAATGAAACACAAGCCCACAACTTGCTGTGAACATTTTAACTCAAATGTTTGCAACCAAAATGATGAAGTAACACAGTCATCGCAATGTCTCAATATCCTCCCAAGTGTGTGTGTGGTAGAGAGAGAGAGAAATGAAGAATATAACAGTCCCGTTAATGGGTCTTTAGATGATACTTACCCTGGAAATGGAAAGTGGCATGTTGAAGTCCTTGCCACCCTGCAGTCTGAACCCCCATGGTGCTGGCCCATCCAGAAGAACCTTGTATGAGTCCATGTCACTCATTTCTAAGGGGTTAGAAAATATTAACTTAATAGTTACCCAAAACAGTGGAAACAAAAAACATCAGGCATGCAGAAGAAGGGTGGTGCCAAAAGGTGAGCAAATGATGGCATGCTGCAGAGCAAGATCTTAGAATTTTGCTATTTTATGCAAATAACATTGCTCAATTGCTGCACTATTAAACTTCTTCCATTACTCCAGAGCTAGTTTCATTCCCCACCTACTTCTTTACAGAAAATGCCCATAAGCTTTCTTCGTCCAAAAATATATTGGAAGCCTGTTAATAGAAGCCAAGGCACTTCTCAATTGAGTTGCATTTCCAGTAGCCTTGATGCACAGGAGCTTCAGATATTTGGGGCCAATTTACATGGTGTTTGGATGGGCCTGTTTTATATTCCCATCAAATTTGCTCAGGTTTTATTAAGTACTCAGAAAGTTGCATAAATAAGGCTTCCACATACCCTAGCACTAATGGGAGACTAGACTTTTTTTAAAAAAAAAAACAGGTTTCACATGCATTTATTTAATTAAACAGAACAGAGAAGGAAAGCAATAAAAAATGGCTTTATATATATTCGAGGACTTCTCATGCATGCATTTACATGATTATATACATGATTATAATATTTCATTAGAACTACTGTATCTATGCAACTTCATAATTCCAAGTAACATCATGTCTTCAATCCAATCAGTAATTGGGGCCATAAATGATTGCTTCCAATGTGAAAACGCAAAACTTTTAGCAATCAGAAAGGTACAGAAAATCCACTTTTGTTGCTCAGCCATCACTTCCATGCAATAAGTATATAGTTCAAAAGAGTACTGATGACCAAATTATCTCAACCTGTCTTAACCTGTCTCAAAGTCAACTCAGTATGTGGAATTATACTTTGTCAGAACATAGCAATTTTAGGATGATACGAAAATCTATTTTCTCATGGCATCTCCAACAACACTGTGCTTTTGTAATGGGGCCCGATCAGAGTGAAAGATCTAAGATCTACTGAAATTTTCAGTAAATATGTTAGGACTTTTTTTCCACTATTTAGGCAAAATGGAAATCTGCCAACTCCTTGTTCCATTCAGTTTTTTAAGTGCACGGGTTAAATTTATCAACAAGAAGTATTTTTAAAAACCCTAATTTGGGGAATTTTTGCGTTTAATAATGTAGGTGTCCTTAAATTTGAAAATGGCAGAGTTATGTAAAGACCTAATGTTTCAATCTATTTAACTCGGCATGACTGTTTCTCCCAGAATACCAACTTCCTATCTCCCCTATCAAAATAGGCTGCAATAGCACCTTCAATTCTTAACCTTGACCGTTTGAAGATATGTGGGTGGACTTTAACTCTCAGAATTCCCCAACCAGCATGCAGGCTGGGAAATTCTGGAAGTTGAAGTCCATACATGTTGAAATTGGCATAGTTGAGAAAGTGCGATTGATCGATCAAGACAGACACTGTCTTTACTGACAATGAAATTCCTATACAGAAATAAATGTATTAAATGTATTTATTTATAGATTTAATGTGGAGAAAAGCAAGGTTTTACACTTCGGCAGGAAAAACTAAAGGTACAAGTACAGATTAGGCGAAACCTAGCTCAACAACAGTAATTGTGAGAGGGGCCTTGGAGTCCGAGTGGACAATCACTTAAAGAGAGAGAGAGAGAGAGAGGGAGAGGGAGAGAGAGAGCGCAATGTGAGGCAGCAGCCAAAACAGTTAATACAATCCATGGTTGTATAAACAGAGATATAGAATCAAAATCACATGAAGTATTAGTATTGCTTTATAAAGCCTTAGTAAGACCACACCTGGCATACTGCATCTAATTTTGGTCCCCATATTACAAAAAGAAGTTGAGACTTTGGAAAACGTGCAGAGAAAAGCAACTAGGAAAGTTGCAGGAACTGGGTATGGCTAGTCCAGAGAAAAGGACTCGGGGGGACATGATAGCAGCATTCTGGTATTTATCAATTTATTTTCCAAAACACCAGAAGGCAAGACAAGAAATTATGGATGGAAACTAATCAAGGAGAGAAGCAACCTGGAATTAAGGAGAAACTTTCTAACAGTGAGGACAATTAACCAGAGGAACAGCTTGCAGGCAGAAGTTGTGAGTGCTTCATCAGTGGAGGGTCCCCTGCTTGAGCCAGGAAGGGAAGGGGGGTTGGACTAGAAAACCTCCTAAGTCCCTTCCCTTTCTGATTGATACAAACTAGTCCTAAGATCAGAGAACTGTCCTTAATCATGTTCTGCACTCCTATAATTGGAAGGGAAATATCTGATACGAAAGCTATTCTAGAGAGATAGGAAACAAAAAAAGTGTTCTGTTGCTATGTCTAAAACAAGTGGACAGAGTTGGGAAGTTCCTGACATTCTTGAACCCCAGTACCCCTATTTAGCATGGTAATGGTCAGAACTTTTGTTCAAACAAAGAATGAAGGACCACAGATTCCTCACCTTAGCAAGCTGCTGGGTGGCAAATAAAGACAGTAAATGGCAATGCCTAGAATCTCTCCTAAATATTGAGAAAGAGACATCTTCTCTTAAGACATGGCTATCCCCTGTCTCCTTACAACATAAGCTGACTAAAACCCCCTCCCTGCCAAGTAAGCAGGAAAGGTTTCCTCTGAACACAAAGCCCTTCCTTTGCCTCCTCCATTTCCCACAGGCGGTGCATTGTCTATATAAGGCAAGCATTACTGTCATGTTCCAAGGCTTGCTCATCAGGCTGCAGAACTCACTGGGAATTCTTCCAAGTGTCAACTTTGTTCTTATTTGATCTAATAGAAATCAAGACAAATCAGAAGGAAACACGAAAAATGTACGCCCACACCCAAAACATTTTCTTTCTTTTAATGCAGGATGGATGGGAAAGTATATTGTGAAGGCAACCTGGGGAGGGGGAATATAATGACCCCCATCCTCTCCCTGAGAAAAGACTCTGGTGGCAGCAGCATTCAAGCTTGAACCACCCTTTCCTTTGCACCCTTGGGGTGCTTCAGCTTGGAACATTTCCAAGAGTTTTAATATCTTCTCTCCTTGGGAATCACAGAGGAACGTGCTTTGCAGGAAGAATTGGACAGCCTAGATTTCTCCCACCTCCTCGCAAACCTGAGTCGGCAAAACATGCCTGGGCGGGCAAGAGGAATGTCTTATACCTCACAACAAGAGCTCACTCATCAGTTATTCGACTGCCTAGTACAAGGTTTCTACAGCAACCTGAGACTCACCAGAGCATCCCCAGCCAAGAGTACCAGGGTGAAGAGTGGTAGCATCCTGTGTTACTCAGCATCTGCAGTCACGGGCTACATCTGTGTTTCTCAACCTTTGCAGCTTTAAGATGTCTGGACTTCAACTCCCAAAATTCCCCAGACAGCATACCCAGTTCCAGCATGCTGCCTGGGGAATTCTGGGAGTTGAAGTCCAGCTATCTTAATGTTGCCAAAGTTGAGAAACACTGAACTACACAAACTAGGACTTTTTAGTTATGGGGTCCTTGGTGCTCTCCGAGCTTGCTTTCTTGCCGATGTTTTGTTACCAACTAAGTAACATCATCAGGGCAAGTAAGGGAGTGGGATTTGTTCTCGTTTTAAACACTAGTGGCTTGCCCTATCACTGTTTGTGGGACTGGACTTGGTGGTTCCTTCATTGGGCTGTTGTTTACTGTTAGCTTGTTTGTCTGAGTTGGTAGTTTCTTGACTGGCGTACAGTTTGCTTTTGTAGTTAGGAAACTACATTAATATAATCAGCTGTCCTTGTGATAAAACATACTGGATATGAAGAACTAAAGGTGAATCAAAGTGCTGAGAAAAAGAAATGCAGAGGAATACTATTCAGCAGAGATAGGTTTTCATACAGTCAGATTTCTGCCTTATTAATCTCTATGGCCAAATTTTGAAGCAATGTGTCAGTTTGATAGGGTAACATACCTACCACCAACAGGCACTGCTAGGATTTGTCTGCTGAAAAGGAAGGAGACAGGAACCACAGAGACTCCAGAAACAGACTTCCCTCAAAGCACTCTGGCATTTTTAAAGAATAACAAATGTATTTGTTTACATGAATCAGAAATCACTTCATTGTATTATTCTAAACAGGCATACATATCTATCCTAGCTGGGAGGAAGGTTTGAAGTGTTGAGATTAGCATTAAGGTTGAAATGAAGAAATTATATTCAAGCAGGTTTAACAATTTTTTAGGAGCTCATAGGCACATTTGAAATTTTGTATACGTTATTAGTGTTTCTCCAAAATGGCTGCCACGATATGCATATCCAATCATAAAACATTCATTAATCAAAAAGTAAACTGACAAATTTATTTCCAAAATCTCATCCCCAAATGGATGCTTTCCACAACCTAATTTATTTTTGCCTTTTTTCTGAGGTGGTTATTATAAAGAAGAATGGGCTATAACCATCCAACATTTTTATTTTCTATCTATAAGGCCTTCTGTAAGTAAAAATAATGCTAAAGCAATTGTGGACACGGTGCAGAGACAAGAATTTATGTTAGGACAAATTATGACAAAGATGTCATAACATCATGCAAATGATATGGTTGAGATACCTCACAAGACCTCATGATGCAAGCACAGAATTATCATTTTGGTGTCACAGTGGCTTACAATAGATACCTTTAATTTAGTTTTAATTATGTATCTCGATATTGTCAGCCACTCAGAGCGACCATAATGTATTTAATACATGCTTAAGTCTTAAGAGTAACAAACAACGTGGAATCTCCTCTGACCTGATTCTGCTGGTACTTTACAGCAGCTTCCAAAATTCCCACCCCAAGTACACTGTGGCTGAATAGCAATAGACTTATATACTGCTCCATAGTGCTTTACAGCACTCACTGAGCAATTCACAATGTCAGCATATTGGCCCCAACAATCTGGGGCCTCATTTTACTGACCTCAGAAGGATGGAAGATTGAGTCAACCTTGAGCCAGTCAGGATTGAATTCCAGGCTGTGTCCCCCTATAACCTTTCCGAATGTCCTGAACCATCGAAAGGTTGCCTATCCCTGTGCTTTAAATTTAGAATCTTTCAAAAACTCAAGTCAGGCAAAGTGGAGTAATTGACAGGCATAAAGAAAATTCCAATATAGGAGAATACCTGTAACTCTGGACTGAACTGTGGAATTCTTGGTGCTTTCTGAGCTTGGTTGTTTCATTGAACAAACATTTCATTGCTCAAATATGACTTGCATTGATGATGTTACCTAGTTAGGTAATGAAACATCTGAAAGCAAACAACCAAGCTCAAAGACCACCAAGAGCTCCACCAAGGAAGTTGACCATAGCATAGCATCTACAGGTAACCACTCTGACAAGGAAATGGTAACACACATACCAACATCATGAGATAAACTCTGTCCCATCAGACATACAGTACATAAGTAAGTCAGAGAGTTTGTTTCATAAGATCAGTCAGTTCGCTTCCCCTTCTCAAACCCCATTGGAATCCCTAATGATCCAAGGATCCTAAAGCAGAATACAAACCTAAGCTGGAAAGTTAATCAATCAACCGAAAGGCATTAACTAAAAAGAAGGGAATATGGAGAGACTTGTTGGAGCAATGCTGGAGTCCACTGTGCTTTTTTTAAAAAAAAGGCAGATATTTTTCCATATATTTATCAGCACTAAAGAAAAAGTCTGTTGGATTTTAATTTTTAATAAATAGCCTCCAACTCCTTTGCAAAGTTTAACACAAAATATCCCTCTGTAATAAAACTTTTAGAAGTAAAAAGAAATATCCCTTCCTACTTTCCCCCTTCACTTTGGGAATATAAAACATACTTCTTATTTCATTACCTAGCTGAGAGTGACCCAATGGATTTTTTGTTTGTTTGTTTTGCACACAAGTCTCTCAACTTCAAGGAGGCAAGTTCTGTCCCAGGAGAGACAGTATGTTTAAAATCCCTAAGGTTGGCAAACATCAGAACTTTCATCTTTTCAGAGTAAGGGCATTTTGGGGTGAAGGGCAATGGAAGACCTGGAGAATGACTAAGCTTCCTTTCTCCCTCTTTAACCCTGCACTTCTCCAGAAGTTTATTCATTAAATGGATTCAGCTGGCAGTTCTCCCAAATGGAAAGAACCAGATGAGCAATAGCCAGGGAGTATTAATCCCAACTCCAATCCCTTTTGGAAATCTTTCTCCACACTAATATTGCTGTTTAAAGGAAATGACTTCATAATGCAATAGCCCTGATCAACCACACTTTTCTCAAAATTAAGAAATAATTTTGACACACAGGAACTGAACTTTATTTTGGTTTGGATGTCCCTTCACAACACAGGCTGATGTCACAGAATAAGAAAGAAACACACATACCGTATATGGTATGTATGTCATTTAGTTTATTTGTTCCCCTGACAGAGCAATTTCTTTAAGCTATCCAAACAAGAACCCTACTAGGCAAGATCAAAATATCATTTTGTTCAGAATCCTATTTCTCGATGGGGGGGGGGGGCAAACGTTTCTAATCTCCGTTAAATGACAACTAGGATTCTTCCTACTGTCTTGTTTTCAGAGGTATACTATTTGTGTGGAGGGAGTATTTATCACATCATCCCTTCCAAATATATTCACTATCAGATTTTTTTTTTAAAGTCAGAGAAATGCTATGCTTTACCTTCTTAATAGCACCCCAGCTCAGACCCACTACAGAAGCCACACTATTCACAGCTCACTTGGACCTGGGTCCTCCTAAATATAATAATACTGTGCTAAGTTGATACCGGTATCTAAGATACCATATATAAATGACCATACGAAAAAGTCAATTTGCTAGGAGGCAACCTGTGACAGAATGTTATTGTATACAGGAGACTTCCCCACCTTGGAACAGCCCAGATGCATTGGGTAACAAAACTCCCATCATCCATAACCAATGGCATCGTTGGCTCTGGGGCGGGAGATGTAGTCCAACAGACCGGAATAGCTAAGTTCGGGGAAGGCTAACGTTCATGTTTCCTCCTTTCACGAAAAGCCCGATGCCACTTTCTCCTTCTCTTCCCCGATCGAGGAGGAGAGCCTGCCGTTGTCTGCAGACCCGCTGACTCCCAGAAAACGGGGCGTTCCGATCCGGCACAGGAAGCCGGGAAAGCCGGTAATCTCCAAGGAGCGAAAAGCTCAAGGCATGCCCATGGCAGCAGACGCCACAAGGACTGCCCAAACGCCCCCAGACAAGTGTCGCAGCAATCCGGATTCGGGGCGCCGAGGCGACGCGCGCTTTGCATCGGGTCCGGCCCTCGGCGGCAAGATAGAAACGGGGCTGGGGAGGGCGTGGGGGACACGGGTCCAGACGACTTAACTCGGTGCCCCGGCTCACTCCACCTCCGGGACAAGCGCCGCAGATGCGGGAAGGGGAAAGGAGGAAAAGAGGTGCGAGAAAGCCCAGGAAAGCAAGCGGGGGGGCGGGGGGGAACCCACCACCGTTTGCTCAAGGACGGTCGCTTTGCACCACTACGACGCGATCCGAGAGACAAGTCACGACTCTCCCATAAAATGGGCTACCTACCTTGCAGGGCCCGCGCACGGCAGTCTCCCCGCCTCGGCTTTCACGGAGGGGGCCACTAAAGCTCCAGCGCCGCCGCGCAGACGAAAGCGAGCCTTACATATATACATATATATCTATCTATATATACCTCGCGCTCCACTCCGGCCGGGATAGAAGAGGCCCCGCCTGCTTAGCGTTTTCAGCCAAGCCCCCTGAGCGCCGTTTGCAAGGAGGGCGCATGCGCGGCAGTGGAAGCAAGCGGCTCTTCGGCCCGAAGGCTCCCCCTGGAGTCGCTGCTGGGGGTGACGTCGCCGGGGAGGGCGCGGCTGCGGGCGCCGCCGGTGACTTCCAAGGCGCGGGATCGCGGGATGGGATAAGCAAGAAAGGCGATCCCGTTTGGTGGAGAGGTGGGGCGCGCCCTGTTGACGTTCGGCTTGCTAGCCGGGTCTTGAAAACCTTTCTTGTGAAGAAACCAGCCCAGGAAATTGTGGCTGTTCCCTTTTCCAAGTCGGCGGGATGCTTCGGGTGGCCGTATTTGAACATAGGAAAATAGAGAGCTGCTTAAACGTTTGTAGCAATATGCTACATAATATGCTCAGGAGATACTTGTTGCTTCACACAACTGAGGAGGGAAGATCTCAGTACTGGCTTACTTAAACCATCTGTAAGCTGTTTCTATTTTTTAAAAAGGCGAAATTGTACAGTAAATACCTAAATGCAAGAAAGAAAACTCGAGGGGGAAGGATTTAAAATTGAGGGGATTGTTTCCACAGACCATCTTATCCTCTCCCTGAGTAGAGTAGTTTAATCTGATGTGTGGGCAGTCTTGGGAAATGGCCCAGATAGAATTAAGACTTTGGTTCAGGAGAGCATTCCAAAGTCAGAAAACATGCCATATAAAGTAATCCGGTAAAAGCTCGCATGACCCTTATGTTTGCAGTGCTTTCCCCAGAGGAGGCAAATAATAGATGCCAGGATACTTCATCACACAAAACCAGGCATATAAGAAACTCCTCCTCCAAAGGGACTCCCAGAAATGAGAATGCATCATATTGCAAAGCTTTATGCTTTACCTCTCCTGTATATGGTGAAACTTTTTGCCCTACTTGATTCTTCATTGCCCACGTGTGCATTGTTCCAGATCATAAAAAATGGATTTGATCTAATTGTTATCAAGCACCAGGTTGTTAAGGGTGTCAAATAAACTATATCTATTCACCCAGGGTCAAATTTAAAAGGTTCATCATTAGGTGGAGTAAGCTGTCTCCTCTAAATGTATGAGCTTTTGTGTACAGAACAAGCGTACACAATGGCTCTGACAGTTGTACATAACACAAAGCAAGCTCAGGTTTATAGCATGTAAGGTAATTACTTTAAATGGTGCAATTTAAGGGGCATTTCCATGTTGAAAACAATGAGCAAGACAGGACTAGTTCCTTACGTGAGCAAAAACTGAAATGATACATCACCTTTTTTGGGATAAAACCACTGAGGAACTTTTGTAGTTTGCACAGAAATCTAGCTTTGTCCAAAAAGCAAGGCTGTTCTCTCTGCCTGTGCTGAAGTAGACAACAATTAAACTGGTCCTGAATTTATAAAGTTTATAAAGGTCCTGAGTTTATAAACATATCTACTCATTACAAGTAGGATTCAATTTTGTGTAGCTCTCAAGGCTCTGAGGTAGGAATTTCTGTACAAAAAGTAGAGGTATTAACAAATGAGCTTTTTATTGGCCAATTACCCTAATTGCACCGAATTTACTGAGACAAGTGGGAATATCGTTTTTTACAACTCACCCATACCTTCCCAGAATTTTCTTCACATTTTTTCTTACGAAAGAAAACTTAGGACAAAAATCACCGAACAGTAATCTCAAAATTATTATTAGCATTAGATATTCTCAGTTTGGAAGGACTCCAAAGCTTTCTAATGAATTTTCAACACCTGAAAATTATAATGCCTGAGCTTCTCTCCAGGAGCCACAACAGTTATACTAGCTTCAGACAATTGTGTTGAGGGTGGATCTCAAACATCTTTTAACTTGTTGAAGCTATGCACTGCTTTGTTTCTAAATTACATCTTTATTATGATCATTGACCAATTTAAAGAATGTAAGAAAGCAAACAAAACAGCATGAAAAGCATGTTTGTAAGATCCAGATAAAGCTCCGGAACTATGCAACTCGTCACTGTTCCAATTTTGGCAGTCATTTGATGGACCATGGCACAAATTTTGGTCACATGAATAGCTGCTGTATCTATCTGTAGCTATGTCTACGAGTTCTAGTGATTATGGGATTTTGTTTTGCATGCTTATAATTTCTAGGGCAATCCTTTTTTGAAGAGAAAAAAAAAGTTCATTAAAGATTTCATAGTTACATTTATTTCCAGTGTTCAACTTGTGTGCCCATAGCTATTTCTTTCCACTTACTCCTGTTCTCACAATGAATTAAGGACTTTCTAATGCAGCCATTTTCAATTAGCTCTCCTTTCAAAATCTTCCCCAAGATGAAAAATGGTACCTAAAAGTACAAGAAAAGGATTGTCTTTTTCTGTAAAAGGATTATACACTATGTAAGGGTGGTTTTGTGAGGAAAATCTTTAAAGATTTATTTATAGTATAGAAAGTATTTCATATTTTCACAAATCTTGAAAGATTGATTACAGGGAAAAGCATTTTAGAGATGCAAATGACCAAAGAAAAATAGCAAAAACTTGAAAGTAGTGTACAAAACTATAAAGCAAATAAAATGATCTTTAGTGATCCTGCATATGGAATCAATATGTATGGATTTATGTACATACACACACATACACACCAGTTTCATCAATATTACATGAAGGTCATCAGAGGACACCATGGAGGAGTTAAAAGCCAACACAGAGCCAAGAAAAATTACTGGGCCAATGCAACTACACAGCTGAATAAGGCAAATCTCCAGTTGCTTTCTTTTCTATTTAAGGCAAAATGCTGTGATTCACAATTCCCAGAATGAACTGTCATGTTAGAAAGAAGATGACAAAGCACACACTCTCCAGATTTCTTACCTTGTAAACAATAACGGTTTGTTGAGAAGCCAGTTCTTTCCAAGGAAGATCTCCAAAATATTGTCTAATACTGTATTTATTAAATATCCATAGATTTTTGTAGTAGGCAAGAATCTATGATCTTGCTGCATTTGCTTCAATCTAACTAAACAAACAAGAAGGCAAGAAGACCAAGATGGCTGAGAACTGGGTTTACCTTTGATTTTTCAACCATGAAATGCTGCCAAGTGTGTAGGAGTAAACTGCTAAATTTATTCATTTTTTAATCCTACCATTCTTCTAAAGTGATTGTGATGTATTTTTTCTTCCAACAATACCCTCCCCCAAACCTTGTGTAGAAGTTTAGTCTATTCCAAAGTAAATCTTATCTTGATCTGCATAGCATGATTAAGTCATACTGTAGTGTGTTACATTTTGCCTTAATACAATGTGTAATTTAGCTGTTAGGTATTATAAATCATGGTTTCTGGTTTAGTGTTCTGAGAATCAAGCTGATATGACTGGGTTTATACATCATGCTAAACAGTTTAGGTTTGTTGAATTAACCACAATTATCTGGGTTCATACAATAGAGCATAATAGCAGGGCTGACACAATCTAAAGCAAGCAAACTTAATTGCATGGTGTATGAATTTGACTAACTAGTTTATAGTGCAGTGTGTAAACTTATTGACAAAGGAGTTAATATTTGAATCCAATTCTAAGTGGCCTAAATCTTGCTTTAATTATTAGTTTAATAGTTCTCTCAAACTTCTAGCAATGAGCTTTCCATTCTCCCAACTGCTGCCCACCACTCGTCTTGCCAAAAGAAATCCCCTTTTCAGGTCTGTTCAAAACAGACCAGGTTTTCTTTCTAAAGGAGATGTGTGTGAGGGACACAGTTGCTCAGTGTGGCTCTCCAGATTCCACCATACTAGATTTCAAGCTCTGAAATCCTGAATGCTGCTGTTAGAAATATTTATCACATACATACATACATACATACATACATACATTGGTAGCCCATCTTACCACAGGATAAATATCAAATTAATTTGACCTGCATGTCCACTGTAATGCTAAATTAGTGACTTGTGGGATCTTTTATGGTGGGCAATTTATTTAAAATTATTATGCAAAAACTGATGATTTTGAAAGTAAATCTCAGTGCTACCACAAAGGAAAGGCTAAGCATCCGACTGTTTTGCCTATCTACATGCAGAAAGAAGAACATGCATAATTCAGATGTTGGCCAGTAGTTCAAATACATCCTTTTCTAGTCTTTACAGTCCCTCTGCATTATATGATACTGTAGTGTAATAAGTCCTCATTTGGTTATGTTTTTAAGGATGTTCTCTCAGTTATTTTGTTTATTTATTTGCAAAGGGCTGGTTTTTCATAAGCCTGCTGAGATCTCCTCTTTTGAGCATGCACAATCTTCATAGAATGTGCAGTTTTTTAAACAATAGTACTTTTTAAAATGAGTTTGAAAAGAATGGATCTGATAAATTAGGCTCATCCATATGTTAAAAAACAGAAGAGAGGTAGTTATGCTTATAACTCAGTTTAACTTGGTGCTTTTCCTGTAAACAAAAATGTAGGGATTGAAATGAAATGTAGAGAACTGAAATATTTAGGGATTGAAATGAACTGTACAGAATTGAAATATTTAGATACCTAAACGAGTTGTATCAAGTCTACTTTCAGAACATAGGTCAGAGATTAGCCAGTGTGGATGGAGTACATGGGCTTCTAAATTACAAAGGGAATTATAATATTTTTTTCCAGTTTTCTTTGTTGGAAAGGAATTATTTTATTTATCAAAAATCTATCGCTTTTATAGCAACAATAAAATTGTGCTGACATGTTTTATTCTTCCATGTATTCTTACATTCACTGTATATAATTCATGGCCACACTGCACACTACATACTCCTCTTTTGCAACAGTCCTTCATAACTTGTTTGATTTCCAGGTGACAAGTAACTCCTTTGTTGTAAAAACTTCAAAGCTTCTACTCTCTGCAAACTACCCTTGATACCCAGGCTTCTTTGTTGGTATTCAAGCTGTTTGACTATTAGGTTCAAAGGACAGAAGATAACATTCAC